AAAAAAAAAAACCCTGAAAGAAACTAATCTTTCCAGTGACATGGCCTGACCAAAAGAACATATGGACGGAAACTAGCCACCAGAATGCTGCAAAATAATACCGGTGAGAAGCGGCTCGTGCTCGCCAAAGAACGCCTGTGTCTGTGTTGTTGGTGTCGAGTAGGTATTTAAATGAAGCTTCGGCGTGGTCAGTTCATCGACATGGGCGCCAGCAGACAGTGGCCCTTTAGTGGGCGAACCAAGCACTGTTGGAGTCTTCAAGGTAACATCTGTGTTACCAAGCGCGGTCGGCGTCTTCAAGCCATCGTTAACATTTAAGCTTAACCCCATTGGCTTTGTATTTGAATTGTTCAAAGAGACCACAGGTTTGCCCTGTCCTCCACGTGCTGAAAATGGCTTAATGAATTTCAAGTATTTTCTAAGCATGTTAGAAGCAGAAACGGCCAGGACAAAATTCATAAAAAAGCGATGCTAATTATAAAATGAAACAAATCGTAGCTTGATAAAATCACAAAAAAGGAGGCAGATTTGCTGAATAGTAGGTTTGTACGTGCCATGCGTCATCATCACGCCTTCTGCCGGACATAACTTCAGTTCATCGCTTCAGTAAGCTGCTGATGCCCAAACTAATAAACGTATGCTCCAGTGCTAATAAAGAAACCAAAGTTATCTACAAAATTTGTCACTAACCTTTCCAGTGCCTCATATTCGCGTCACCCGAGCTTCCAGTTCACCTCAGCAAGTTTTCGTCCGCTCTATCGTGCAAAAAAAGAGGAGCCTTTTCCTTTCTCTTCCGATTCATTATTATTATATTCACTAGTTTATCAGTGAAAAATATATTTTTTTAATACCAAATCAAGGATACCGCGTGCCGACGATGATAAAACCGGTGACTTTGTACCATCAACAGGTTGATCACTGGTTGATGGTTCTGATAACACTGCTCCATCTTTTTCTGCCTGCACCGGTAGCCGAGGTGACGTACTCATCAGATGACTCATTCGTGGTGCTGAAAAAATTTTTGGATACTGCTAGACGGCTAAAGCGACAATCGACTTTCGTTGTGTACTTTATGTAATGCAACGTATATCCACAATTTAATATATATCCACATACACGTACATACTCACATATGCAGGCGCATACACGCAAAAAAAAAATATCAATTTCGTAGCGACAATCGGTGTGGGAGCGCCATGCCGCTAATGCTTCTGGGATGCTCGCAAACGCCAACTGCAGCCACGCCAGGTCCTTCGATTCCTTTGATTTGCATATTATCACACACATACACACACATACACACACACATACACACACACACACACACGAGCATCCAAAGATGACTGACTGCATGTTAGAGCGGTTGCAGGATTTTGATCATGGAAATACTGATGGGAAATGACAACAGCGCGACATTCCGTGGATGAGTATAATTTCATTTTAATTTATTCACTCACAATCAGCACGAATTTATGTGTGTATGTTTGCCCACACATAACAGTGTTGGAACTAAGAAGGATAAGCAGCTGAAATTTGGGAAGCAAAGTTTCAGAGCACGCATAAGGCCATAAATCTAAAATCAACTTTCATTTAACTCTCAGTACTAGCCTATAAATTCAAGTACGAGTTCAGCCTACTTTTATAATCTGAAAACAAACAAAGCTACTTGAACTCGAAATCCCAGGAGTGTGATTCCCCACACAATGCGTGATAAATATCGTAAAATCAGCATACAAAGTTTACTGCATGCTGACTCAAACTGTAGGCCCCAGTTCAGCCTAATCTTATGATGCAGAACACAGCGAGCTAGAAATTTGAAATTCTGATATTGTAATTAATTCTCCAGCGCAGAATAATTAGCCAAAAATCAGCTTTGAAAGTCACAGTTTCCAGATTTGTGACTTCTTGTTCAGATTTCAAGCTAATCCTGCAGTTTCAGAATGGGCCTACATTTCCAGACTTAGCACAGAGCATAATGAGAGATGAATCAAACTTTGGACTTTCCTAAGTCTTCATATTCTACCACATGTTGGCATTATAATTCCATGTAAAACAAATTCTGGCACTTTTCAAACGCTGAACAAATTAAAAACCATTAGGATGAGTTGAAGCCGGCACGACATATTTGTCGCACTCAGCCACTGAAGGCCCACAACAGCTTCTCACAAAAACGCGCATTGCTGAAGTTGGCCCTCGTTGCGCGCCGCTCTTTTCCAAAAAACTCCATTTACCAGAGCAATTTAAGTGCAAATGTTTGCTTATACTCCGCCTTCACACTCATCGCACCTCCTGTTACACTTGAGATTTTTAGCTTCATAGTGCTTAGCTACTACGGAAAGACAATATTAATGAAGTGATCCTCCTTAAAGCACAGGAACCACTCGGCTGTTTTATTAGATCCGTGACTAATTTCGTCGGCGTGCATCGAAATAAATTTAACTGAAACAGTGAAATTTCTATGCTCGAATTGCGTGACCTATCACTCAACTCCAGTCGAAAGTCAAGTCGACGGGCCTGATTTGTCCAAATTTCTTTCGTTAAAATCAACTGATGTGTGCCAGAAACGGCCCGAAGGAAAAGCGACTCGTTATTTTCGCACCGACTTCGATTACTCTCCACATTATCCCAAACAATTCCTACAGTGAATTTCTTGCGTGATGGCAGTGGTGAGCCGCAATTTTCATTCCCCCACCCCACCCAAAACAATTACTTAGAGCAGCATGAGCTGAGGCAGCGAACTTTGATCCGTTTTTTCTTATGGCGAAGGGAGAAAAGAGGAAGGAAGGTGGATTAGCACTAAGAAATATAAATTGCTCAGTGCCAAATTAGCTGTTTGCAGAAACGTTTTTCAGATGATATCGTTCTGAAGGACTAGCATGTAGCTGGGTGATTGATTTAACAGCCATAATTAACGCACTACTAATTACCGCTGCTCCGCCTCATTTTTCCTACGAATATTGAACTGAACTTGAATAATTTTACGCTCCAACATACTCATTTCACTCAAAGCGCTCTACGAGAAAATAATATCATAAAGATTTGTGTGCTACACAAGTCAAAAAATTTTCCGGAACAACATTTTTTATGCGTTTTTGCTGTGCAGCGCTATAGCAGCGCTATAGCGCTGCTACAGCCAGCAA